GCTGAGGTCACTTGGTTTGTTCAGCTTGGAGAAGAGAAGGCTGAGGGGTGACCTCATTGCTGAGGGGTGACCTCATCGCTGAGGGGTGACCTCATCGCACTCTACACCTTCCTCAAGGGGGGCAGCGGAGGGGGAGGTGCTGATCCCCTCTCTCTGGTGACCAGCGACAGGACACGAGGAAATGGAATGAAGCCGTGTCAGGGGAAGTTCAGGTTGGACATTAGGAAAAGGGTCTTCACTGAGAGGGTGGTCGGTCCCTGGAACAGGCTCCCCAGGGAAGTGGTCACGGCACCAAGCCTGTCAGAGTTCAAGGAGCATCTGGACGGAGGGTCTGGACGACGGTCTTAGTCATATGGTTTAGTGTTAGGTTGTCCTGCGAGGAGCATGGAGTTGGACTCGATGATCCTTATGGGTCCCTTCCAACTTGAGATATTCTATGATTCTATGACTCTATTCTGGTTGCCATCTTGTGGACCTGTCTGCTGCACTGACTGGTGAATCTTTGTCTGAGAAAACCATCCTCTCAACACATTTGACTTACTGATAACTTCAAGGAGGGTTGTCCTAGCTTTATCCTGCATCAGATCAACTGTTGCTTTATAGATGCCGCTGTCCGTCTCTTGTAACCTCTGCAGGAGAATCGAGCCATTCTTCGGATAGAAAATCACTCTGCCTTGGTAAGCCGAGTAAATGGTTGGAGACTGGGTATCTGCATAGTACTGCAGGATGAATTCAGGGGTGGTGTTTCTTATGTATTCCCACTCGGTGAAGTTTACGTTCTTGATATCCGGCGCATGCATCAGTATGGAGGACCCTTCAGCTGCAACTCTTCTTTCTGTGATTTCCACCACTGTGGAGGACCCCTGCAAAACCAGCAGCAGGTCTGGAAATAGGAGAGAAGCCAGAGCAGGGTGGGTTAGTTTTAAAGCAAAAGCCAAGGAACAATTTAATCTGCTTGTACATCCTATTTTTAATTTTTTTTTGGCACAAGTTACCAACTGACTTCCTGAAGCATGTTATGCCACATGTCTGATTTCCTTCCGCTGTTGTCAAGATAAAAACCGTAATGTTTTTGTTGGTGTGTTACATAAATGCTTCTGAGCTGGTTAAGACAAATCCTTGCCCCTTGGAATGAAAATGATGGCAATCTGGACTTTTGGGGGTTTTCTGCACATCAGGAGTTGCTAACAGGGACCATAACCAGTGTGGCTTCACCCCTGGATCTTGAGCTGCTCCCTTGGCACCTGAAAGGAAGAGCATTGCTTGGAAAACAAGCTCTGAAATGCACTTTGTCGGGACTACGTAGTCCTGGCTGCTAAATAATCGGTGTCTGAGAGCTGACCTTTCTGAACGCTGTTAAAACCTATAGGCGTATTCAGCCTCGGCCTCGCCATCCTCTCAAGAGGAGGTTAAGCCCTGCAAAACTAATGCTCCCACTTAGCTAAGCGCCCAGTGACCTTATGCATTTGGAAGGTGCTAATTCATCACGTAGTCACATTTCGTGGCACCTCTGAGTAATGCAATGGCTCTCTGGTGCAACTGCCGTGTAGAGGAGCTGCTTTTAGCATGAAAAGGAATCTAAACAGGCCTTTACATAAAAGCCTTTGTCTTGAAAATGTTTTATGGTTTCTCCAGGGGAGAATGAAGCTAATGTGGGGGGGTCAGCCTGCAAGCGGGACCCTGAAACGTACGCTTGGCTGTACAAAACCCAGATGTGAGCATCCCGTCATAGCACTGCTGGCATAAAAGGACTTAGCAAGTGGAAAGTCACGTCCGATATCTCCAGCCCCCAAATCTGCCAGAACCGTCATCCTGGAGCTGCTTTTAGAATGTTTAAAAGGTTATGCTGGTTGCTGAAGAGGGGACAAGCTACAGGAACAGGTACCAAAAGGAAAGCCCGTCTAAGCAAAGAGGAAAGATGATGGAGGGGAGGCTCAGAGGCTCAGGGAAGGGTACTGGAGGGCACACCATGGTTGGAGAGCAGAGAAGAGGCTCACAGGGAAGCAATGCTTAGGCATGCAGTGGAGGAGAGCTGCTTGTAAGAGGTGGTGGTGGTGGTACCCAGGTACGGTGATGCTGCAGCACTGGGAGGAAGGAGGCGTCTGCCAGGATGGCTCCCCAGAGTGCACGCCTTTACCAACACCGCCGCAGCCCGGAGCAGGGATGCAAGGAGAGCACAGAAATGCTGCAAGCATACGCTCTGCAAGGAGGTGCACGGCCAATGCAAGCCCCACACAAGTCCCTTTTCATACTCACAGCCTGCGATGGCCGCCTGCAGCCAGGTTGACATGATAAAGCCCTGCAGGCTCTTTCAAACCAGCATGAGGGATGAGCTCTTTCTGCAGCGACGTGCTCTTGGGATGGCCGTTCTAGGCATGGTGGATGGGCCTGTGAAGGACATTGTGAAAAGCACCATCGGCATCTGCCGTGCAGGGGTTGGGAAAGGCGAAGGGTGCTCAGTGTAGCGATGGGGGAACCCCATGTGTCCCCATAGCACTGGCATCTCCGCGGGCTGCACAGGCTGAAGCAGGGGGTTGCTGTACAGCAGCCCGAGCCCACACTGCTCGTAACAGCGCAGCTCAGGGAAACCTTCACGGCCATATCTGTGTTCAGCACCAATTCACCACAGTGATTAAAAAAAGAAAGATCTTCTAGACACAAAAACCACTGATATCCAACAGCATCAAGACCAGCACAGGCGCAGCAGTTATTGGGGGGGACAAGAGCGCCTGGCTGCTTTCTGCAGCCTTTCCTGTGTCCTGCAGCTTTACAACGCTAGCAGGTACAGCCCTGCCTCATCCCTTTAGTGTTTATTTCTGCATCTGCCGGCCAAGAAATTGCCCATTTGTATTTAGCAACCACCTCCACAGCCTCCCAGGGTAGCAGGAGCTACATGCTCACGCCCTGATGCCTACACAAGTACTTTCTCTTCTCAGGCTTAACCCACTTTGTCACTTCCTCGAGCAGCCCTGACTCTTGTCCTGTGGCATGGAGTGAATATGGGCTCCGCATGTGCCTTATGCATCACCTTCATGGCTTCGAAAACCTCCATCCCATCCCCTTTCCCACCCCCTCCTCTCCAACCTGAAGGCTCCCAGACTTTTCAGTCTCTCCTTGCAAGCTCTTGATCATTTTGGCTGCTGTCCTCTGGGTCTTCTCCAACTGTTTTTAGAGACCTTTTGCCTTAGTTTCTTCACTACGGAGACTGCAACACGCACCGCAACAATTGGTGGGCATGAGAGAGCTCGAGAACAACCTGCCTGTCTCCAACACACTTTGCGATGGGGCATTACTTGAATGGCAATAGTGCTCAGAGCTGGTTTGCAGAGCCAGGCTGAAAGCTTTGGCGTTTGGACAACAGGGACTGCATTCACTTTCAGGTTTTGCAAGGCTCTGGAGCAAGGGTGATGGCGGAGGACAGCAGGAAAGTGGACAGTGGGACAATTTTTTGGCAAAGGGTTTTCACTGCCCTGTGATCAGAGTCTCAGCCAGGACCAGAAGAGGTCAAGATGGTCTGTTTTAGAGACTTAGTTTACTTTAGAAACAGCCTGAGGTTGGCGGTGGCTAAGGAACTGACTTTTGACGCAGAGGTGAGGAGGTGTGTTTAAGGCTGAGCTCCCTTCGGAGAGACTTTACCTCCTGGCAGCATCCAGCTTTCCTCCGGGGAATCCAGCAAACGGCAGAGTAGCATCTGAACGGGAAGCCATTTCCACCGTGGAGCTGCCCACGTGCGCAGCATGCCCAGCATGCTCTCCTGGACCTGGCCAAGCAGCCTCCCAGCCCAGACCCGCGACCCCAAGAAGGGGAAAAAAACCCAAAAACAAAACCCGAAAACCCAAGGGAAGAGAAAACAGCCAGGGTATGTCGTGTTCACCCCTGCAACGGAGACCTCCAGCCCAGGACGTGCCCACCACCAGAGGAGCCAACTGCACGTCCCCGGTTTCTTCCTTACTAAAAGGACTTCAGGAAATAAGGTTCTGGGGAAAATCACCCAAGTTAAAGGTGATTTAGCTTCTGTGCAGCTAAAAACCTACGACAGAGTGGCTGCTGCAGGCTGCAAAGCCACATTAACGTGTAAAAAGCTGGTTATTTGAATACCTTCATGTCTTACGTGAACTCCTTGTTGTGCTCTTCCTAGGTTAGTGGGTACATGGAGACCATGAAAAATCCTGTGATTTCTGTTGTAGGATTTCCTCAAACTGGTATTTTATTCGCCCGTTAACCAACAGGTCTAATTAGAAGTGGAGAAGCAGCAGGAGACTATGTCTTCTTTCCCTTTACAAAATGCCTGAGATGCCCTTGAGATGGGGGGGTTTGAGATGGGAGGGTTGTGGTGCTAAATTTAGCCTCTTTTTTGGCCATTTTGTCTGGTATCCTCTTGCTCTCTGAGCTTTGGGCAAGAACTGGCTGTGGCTTTTCACAGGGATATGAGAACCATGTTTTGTTTTACAGCTTACAGGGCTGTTTTAAGGATATAAAAACAATAGCTGTGGAAAAAGCACGTATGCTCTTTAGAGGCAGAGGATTTCCTCTACCCAAGCAAATCCAAATAGGTGTGGAAATGACCTTCTTCCCACCCAGTGCAGCTGGGTACGACAGTCTCTCCCTGTGCCTATGGAGAGGGGGATGAGGCTTATCCCAGGAGACGGAGAATAAGGCGTATTTGGAAGGAGGCCACCTCCTGCTCAAAGTGCTGCTGCTCTTTTGAAAAATTAATCCCTCCTCCTCCTCCCTTCTCCCCTCCACCAGCAGACCAGGACTCCTCAGATACGTGGCTGGGGAAATGGGTAAGAGCCTTTGGGTAAAGAGATGCCCACGCAAGGCGGAGGGTGGGTTAGATCTGCCTGCAGTCGCACAGACTGTTTTATCTCTTGAAGAGAACCTCTCGTCTCACGCAAGGCATTAGCACAGTCGAGTATTTGCAGTCTGAGAGACGGTTGTAAATGTGACCCAACACTTTTGGTAAGGGGCAGATATTTTCAGAAGTTTTCATGGAATCTTACATGAACAGGGAGAGGAATCGGACTCATGAAAATGCACGTACTTAAGGCTATCATGTTTTCCCCTTGGCCTCTAGCATCGTTACTATGCTGTGTTATCTTTCATTTTTACAAAATCCACACGGAAAAGCTGAAACGGAAGCACACTGCAGCCTGCTGGAGTTTTACGAAGAGGTCTTTTTAAGGAATATCTTAGGATCTTCATCACAAAGCATGCCTGTAGCACTTGGGAAACACATCCAAGGCACTTCAGCCTCTCATCCAGCCTTTTATAGGAATGGGATGTGCGTCAGCTGTTTTTCAGCTGCAAAAAAAGAGCTCATTATGTGAGCTGGAGCTACGATATCTCCAAGGCACCATATATCTGAACAAAAAATGTCTGTGTTGGGGGAAGGGAAGCTCCCCAGCACTACGAAGCCCTGCCAGGCTTTGAAGCCTGCTGAGGACATTAATCAGGGTTCTGCAAGCAAGGCAGAGAGTCCTCCCTGCTGCTGGAGAGGGGTGAGAGGCTCCCTTAGGGATAGGGGAGCCAAAGAAATGCTCTGCCCGTATTGCAGCTGCTTCCTCCTCCTCCTCCTGCGGTTTGCGTGTAGCGTGGACGTTGGCAGCTGAAGCAAGACAAAGGGGCTTGGTGTTGTCTGGCAAAACAAGCTGCAGCTGTGTGCCGGGTGAAGCCGAATGCAATCAGCACGGGCGCAGGCGCTGCGCCTTGCTGTTGGCTCTGGCATTATCATTTTGCCAGCACCCATGCGGCCGCGCTAGGAAAGTAAAGATGACGTGTAAAGAGGAGACGGTCTTTATCAGCCCCTGGCAAAAGGAAGGTGTGGGGGGGTCTCGGGCTAGGCGTTATCGGAGCGTGGGCTGCAGGGGCTGGCTGGCCCCCGCACGGGATGGGGCTGCTCAAACACCACGTTTACCTGGAGGCATGTCTCCCGAACCAGCGAGGCAATGCCGGTTCCTGCAGAAGGGTGCTGTGATCTCCTGCATAACACATGCATGATTTTACATTAGCAGCCGTTAAAAGCATGTACCTCCCCTGACCTAGGCTAATGGATGACAGACATTGCAGGGACAGACGTCGTGATAGGAAGAAACAAAAGGGATGTGTGATTGGCAAGGACAAAAGTGAGTTCCCACACCAGGGAGCACAGGCACCTGTGGTACTGGCTGGTACCATCAGGCCCTTTGATAAGGATGTACGAGAAATGTTAGAAACACTGTGTGCTCTTTCTGCTCTTATGTAAAGCCCTTACTGTAAAATTATAAGGAATGATCTTAGGTCTTCCCTGACATATTAAAAAAGAGAGATGCAAATCATCCTATTATAAGTCATCTCACAGCTTTGAAAGATTAAATGTCACATTAGCAAATATGAAACCCTACTGAGCAATGTCTAGCTCTGCTCTCTTGGTTTTACGTCTGCTGAGGCACGGCAAAAAGAATGGCAACAGGGGAACTGCTACAACCGATGACAAGTAGAGAAACTGTAAAACGCTACTCGGCAGTAATGGTTTGCATGGAAGGAAAAACCACCTTCAGCTAAAATCCCAAGTCCCCTGCAAACAGCAGGACTATCGTGAAGGTTCTTCACGGCTGATACAAACTGTGACAACCTAAAAAGTCCACAGATTCATTTGTGCTCAAACCAGAAGCGAGAGTAACCAAGAAAGAAGCAGGTGTAACACTCACCTAGAAAAGAGGAGCTGTATGCCTAAGTGCAGCTCTAAATAAACCAAGAAACACCCCTCCTCATAAACAAATCATGAGTTACTTCAGAGACTTTTGTAACTTTACCCTGCCCTTGTCTAATGCTCTTTGCATCCTGCGGTCAAGACAGACAAATTAAGCTCAGCAAAGAGTCCTGGGACGAAGTAGCCCAAATCACACGTGCAAAAGGCCACCACACCAAACCACAAGCGCCACGATGAGTTCCCCCCACCTGCGAGGGGGGCTTCAGACAGCCCCCGGTCCGCTGCCAGCAGAGTGGCCAGCTCCAGCGGTGCCGGTGGCGTGGGGGAGTGGGGGTCAGCGGGCGGCTGGACAAAGCGAGCAGACGCACCATCGCAGTGGCGAGGCTGCAGGCGCTGGAGCAGAGCTCCCTGGATGTGCGCAAATAACCGGGGAGGGGATGGGGGGGCGGAGAGGCAGGTGGGCTAGGAGCTATATAAACAGCGCTGTGAGGACTTAACGACG